AAAAAAAAAAAAAAAAATGATCTAAGTTGTCAATATCTTGGTTTCTTGTTGTAATTGATTCGAATTGTTTTCCCCTATATTAATACCTATATTAATACTAGACATATAGTAAATATTTTAATTATATTTAAAAATATTTCAAACAAATATCTAGAATTTTCTTTCCGTAACTATAAAAATTTAAGTACATGTAGCACACAAAAAATATATGGATTCGTAAATTTTATTTTATGTGCATGTTATAATTAGAAAATTTCGTTCTTGGGCATATAGATTGGATATAATTTGAATGTACATATTATTTTATCATGTTATTTATTTTTTCATGGTTTTTAAGTAAAAAAAAAAAATAAAGTTCTATGCAATTACCATTAGCACACCAAGGAAGAGTCTTTCATAAAGCACACCAATGAAGAAGAAGACTATCCATCAATGACTCCACCAACCTTCTTTCACACACACATTCAACAATGATGTGCTAAAGCTTGTCAATGGGGGTGTGCTAACCTTGCCTATAAATAGGCTTCTCGTTTCATTCATTCAAATCATCCAAGAGTGTGATCAATCAACCTTGAGAGTGTTGAAACATAACCAAGAAAGAGTTGTGGAGTGTTTGAGAGTTTTTTGTTAGAGTTTGTAAATCTCTTGTGTTTTTATTTTTGTGAGTAAAAGAAACTTGTTTTTCTCTCAGTTATGTTTATGATCTTGGGATGATACCACAACAAATGGTATCAGAGCTTGGTTTGAAGCTTTCGAGCTTAATTTTGAAATTTTTCGAGCTTTTGTACAAATTTCGAGTTTCTGAGTTGTGCTCGAAATTTAATTTCGAGGACACCGTTAGATTCGTCTCGTCGAGACGGTCGCAGTTTTATCTTACGGGCGAAAAACGAACACCGAAGCTGCCCCGAAAAGCCTTATGAAGTTCTGAAAAAAAAAAAAAGATGATGACGTGTCGCTACGTCATCTGACACGTCATCGCCAGCAAGGAAGCCCCAGTTAGCAGCCACATCAGCAGCCCAGTCACCTACCACAACAGCAGCCCAGTCACCTGCCACGAGGAATCTTTCTTTGACTCACAGATAAACAACGGAATTTCTTTCTCTGACCCAACTTTAGAAGCCAAGCGAAGTGAAGTCATAGACCCATCGGTTGAGGAATCAGCAAAGCAAGTTCAAGCGATAGTTGAGTTTGATCAATAAGTTAGCACTTCCCCGAAATCTATAGATACCTTGCGGAATATATCGACTTAGGGAATCAGAAGAAGAACAAAAGATAATCCCGGGTAATATTAATTCAATTGAAGAAGAGATCAAGTGAATCTATGTCAAAAGAAAGAGCTAAAGCTATCTGGTTGGATGCAAGTACTTATAAAAACAGTTATCCTCTACTGAAGTGAAATATATGGGTTCGATAACTTACTTATTTGGCTGTGCTTGGTCCAATTTCCAATGGAAAAAAAAACAGTCGTTATCCTCTGCAGAAGATTCCAATTTCGTGGTGAGCATTTTGAAGCTATTTCCTTGGTCTGAACATAGCCATACACATTTTCTGTTATCTTTCTACGTCATTTTTGAACCTCCTAAAAAAGCGCTAAGCTTTCTTCTTCCCTGGCAGGTGGAGCCCAGTCAACCGCCACGTCATCACCGTAAAAAAAAAACTCCCCCCCATTTTCGACTGTTCCGGACGCAAGGGTGTGTCTATTTTTCGAAATTCAGCTCTGATTTGTCCCAAACAGATCATAGAAGGTGTAAAATGACCATGGAAGAGTCAACTTCATCTTCTGGAGCTATGATTATACTCACAGCTACCAACTATACGCTGTGGAAACCTCGGATGGAAGATTTCCTCAAGTGTAAAGAGTTCTTTGACCCAATAGAGCTGAAATGTATTAACCCTGATCCGTCCAAGGCGTTAGAATGGAACAAAATCAATAGAAAAACTATTAATCCGACAATGGATAGACCATAGTGTCTTCCATCATGTTGCACAAGAAACCGATGCACATGTCCTTTGAAGGAAGCTGGAGGACATGTATCAGGCCAAGACTGCTCGGAATAAGGCCTTATTGATGAGGTGTTTAGTCATTATGAAGTTGAAAAGTGGGACTTCTGTTGCCGAGCATACCAGTGAGTTCCAGAGCCTGGTAAATCAACTATCTTGTGTGGAGATGCCACTTGGAGATGAAATGCAATCTCTGCTACTTCGTAGTTCCCTTCCTGATAGCTGGGAAACACTCGTTGTTACTCTCAGCAATTCAGCCTCAAACGACAAACTTTCCATATCCGTTGTGAAGGATTCCTTATTCAATGAAGAGGCAAGAAGGAAAGACATGGGCACAGATCAGACCCATTCCCTTGTGATGGAGAATCGAGGAAGACCACAAGGCAAGCAACAAAGAAGTGGTAGAGGGAAAAGCAGAGGTAGAAGCAAGGGGAGGCAATCAGACAATCGGAGATCACATATGTTCTATCATTGTGGTCTAGAAGGTCATATGAAGAAGAATAGCTATAAATGGCTCGAGAAGCAGGGCAAGAGCAATTCTCAGCCGAAGAATAGTTCTCAACAGAAGAACAAGGCAAGGGTGGTGAAACTCTCATAACTGTCTCATGTGACGTAGCATATTGCTCTAACCATGGTGAGACATGCCTTCATGTCTCAAGAGAAGAGATTGAATTGGTGATAGATACTGCAGCATCCTATCACGTTACTCCCAACAGGAAATACTTCACAAATTGCCGGAATTGGTGATATTCAGGCAACGACAGGAACCGGGAGTACAATCCTATTGAAGGATGTCAGACATGTGTCGGATCTTAGGCTGAATCTTTTGTTAGTGGTGGCTCTTGACAAAGAAGGATATAAAAATCACTTTGGTGCAGGCACATGGAAGTTATCAAAGGGTGCTTTGAAAATTGCCCGAGGACATGTTTGTGGGACGCTGTACAAAACACATTTGAAAGTTAGTACAGAAAGTCTCAATGTTGCGGAGGAGGTTCCCAGGATCTATGGCACCAGAGACTTGGCCATATGAGTGAAAAATGGTTGACTACCCTGATAAAGAATGATCTTATCAAGGTTGATAAGAGTGCATCGATGGGTTCTTGCAGTCATTTCCTGTTCGGCAAGCAGCATAGAGTCTCATTTAATACCAATTCAACAAAGAGATCAGAGTTGTTAAGCTTGGTACACTCTGATGTTTGCGGTCCCATGGAGGTTGAATCACTGGGTGGAAGTAGATATTTTCTGACTTTCATTGATGATGCTTCTCGAAAGGTGTTGGTATATTCTCTGAATACGAAGGACCAGGTGTTTGAGTACTTCAAGGAATTTCATGTCATGGTGGAACGTGAAACAAGAAAGAAGCTGAAATGTCTCCGATCTAATAATGGAGGTGAGTATACTTCCAAGGAGTTCGATGCATATTGCAGGACATATGACATTCGACATGAGAAGTCAGTACCATGTACCCCTCAGCACAATGGTGTTGCTGAAAGAATGAATGGACTATCATGGAGTGTGTCTGAAGCATGATGAATATGGCTAAATTACCAAAGCCATTTTGGAAAGAAGCTGTCAAGACCACATGTTATCTAATCAACCGATCACCTTCAGTTCCATTAAATTTTGAAGTTCCATAGAGAATATGGACTGGTAAAGATACGACATACTCACATCTCAGAGTATTTGGTTGTGTAGCATATGCATATATATCCAAAGAGCTCAAGAAGAAGCTCGATGCGAGGTCAATCCCATGCATTGTCATTGGTTATGGAGATGAAGAGTTTGGATACAAATTTATCCAAAGGAGAAAAAGGTGATCAGAAGTAGGGACGTTGTGTTCCAAGAAAGTTTGACAATAGAAGATATCGAAAAGGCCAAGATGTCTCAGAAGTCAAATGTGGGTGCTCAAGTTTCAGATGAAGCACCAGAAGAAGATGAGGAGACAGAAGAGAGTGCAGAGCAAGGGGAGCAACAACCCACCTTGCCAGAGCAAGGGGAGCCACAACCCATTTTGCCAGACACCAATGTTGGAAGTTCTTCTCAGATGGTTCTACCCACTCGTAGATCTGAACGAGGTCATATACCATCAAAAAGGTACTCATCATCTGAATACCTTCTATTGACAAAAGATGGAGAACCAGAGAGTTTTCAAGAAGCTATATCTCATAAGGATAAAAAAAATGGATGGCTGCAATGCAGGAAGAGTTAGATTCTCTGCAGAAAAATCAAACTTATGAGATAGTTGAACTTCCAGAAGGGAAGAAGGCTTTGAAAAACAAATGGGTGTTTAAGCTAAAGAAAGATGCAAATGGACAAGTAGTGAAACACAAAGCTCGAGTAGTTGTCAAAGAGGCTTTCAGCAGAAGAAAGGGATTGATTTTGACGAGATCTTTGCACAGTTGTCAAGATGACCTCAATTCGAGTCATACTTGGCTTGACAACAAGTATGAATTTGGAGCTTGAACAGATGGATGTGAAGACAACTTTTCTTCACGGAGATTTGAATGAAGAAATCTATATGCAGCAGCCAGAAGGTTTTGAGGTTT